AACAACCCAGTGAAATTGTTGCCATTCACAGTGAACACCTCAAACCGAAAACCACTACACAATTCAGAAGGTAGATCTCCAGAGAAACTGTTGTCTCCTAATTTAACATTTATCAGAAAAGGATTGTTCTTCCCTAATTCTGCTGGAATACCTCCCCAGAAATCATTCTCAAACAGCGAAAGATCAGTGAGGTTAGTAAGTTTAGAGAGAGTAACAGGCAACTGTCCACTCAATCGGTTGCTGTTGAGTTCAAGTTTAAGCAATGAAGTCAAGTTTCCGATCTCCGGTGGAATTGTTCCACTGAGATTATTGCCGAAAAACTGCATGGTTTGAAGGTTTGCCAAGTTTCCAATGGTTGAAGGTATTGAACCTGAAAGTTGGTTTCTTGAAAGAGCCAACATCTTAAGCTTTTCCAAGTTCCCAATCTCCATCGGTATGGGGCCCGTGAAATTGTTTTTGTACAGAAAGAGAATCCTGAGATTTGTCAAGAGCCCAATTTCGGGTGGGATCTCCCCACTGAAAAAATTTAATTGAAGCTGCAAGGAGACCAATTGAGTCCAATTGGTGATGAAATCAGAAGAAATTTCACCAGAAAGTTTGTTTTCAGAGATACCAAGTTCAGAAATCTTAGTCAGATTTGATAAAGACAAAGGCAATACCCCGGAAAGAGAGTTGCTAGCTAGTGCTAAGAACGTGAGATTAGAACAGAATCCAAGCTCAGAAGGAATTGAAGAGTTGAGTTGATTTGAGTGGAGATCTAACTCCCGAAGATTTTGAAGCTGACCAATAGAAGAAGGGATCTCTCCTACAAATGAGTTATCATACAATTCAAAAATTTCAAGATTGGGCATCAGATCCAAATCCTGCAAAATTTGGCCTGAAAAAAGGTTGTCTCCTAGCCTCAGATGTTTCAAGTTTGAAAGATTGTAAAAGCTCCTGGACAATGGACCTTGAAACAAATTCTCTGTTAGATTAAGGTATTGGAGGTGTGTCAGCTTTCCAATCTCTGATGGGATTTCATCTTCAAAACCATTTGAGCTCAAATCCAAGAACATGATGCTGGAGAGGTTGCCAATGGAAGATGGAATCGACCCACCAACATTGTTATTGCTTAAATCAAAGTGAGTAAGATTTGGGAACGAAGAAAACTCAAATTCTGTTAGTGTTCCAGAAAGAGACGAATTTTGGAGGGTAATTTTGGAAACCAGACCACCTTCATTGCAGACAATACCAGTCCAGTTGCAGACGTTCTGAATGTTTCTTGAAGACCATGAATTCAGCAAAGCATCAGAATCAGAAGAAGAAGAAGAAGAAGAAGAAGATGATGATGATAATAAGGTACGCTTCCATCTAACAAGAGCTTCTGCTTGTGTTGTTGATGTTGATATGGTCTTTAATGGCAGAAAAGAAAGTAAGGCAATATAAAGGAGCAGATTCATAATGTTTTTTTTAAATGTTGCCATGAATGGTTTGGGTTTTGTTTGAAGCTTTTTCATGCTCATAATATTTATAGTGCTTTTTCTAACTCGTCAATGATAGGTAATAAATAGGAGAAATTTGTACTATACATGTGAACTCATATTGGGGGTCAATAATCATATTAATAACACTTTAAACGTGTCATCCAAATGCATCCAAGTTATTCAATCAGTTTCATATATAGTATATTTTTTAAATCCAGTCAAAAATGTTTGAATGACTAAAATACCTGTGACATTTTAAAGTGACAAAAATACCCTTCAAAATTAGAAAAATAAGACATAGTTGGTAGGAGGAGAGTGGAGAGTGGGACCAACGTGTGGGTATTCTCCTTATGGTCTTCGTCTTCACTGAAATGTTTGAAATGCATTTATATTTTGTTGATGAACTTTGTCTTCTCAGGTCTTCTTCTATCCCTATTTATAATTGACTTAATTTTTTTTTATGTATAAGTTTATAACAATGACATGATCCTTGACGTCACCAAAATTTACGTACATGTCATTCAAGTAAAAAAAAGACTACCTAACTTGTCGTTGCCTCGTTGGTGTCATTTACACCAGATATGGGACAAAAAGCCCAAAAACTAAAATTGAGCATTTCATAATTATAATTATAATATCACAATAAAACATCGTTCATGACTTAACGTGGATATAAATACTGTTGTCAAGCATATTTTTTACGATCAAAGATATAACAACAAAAGAGAATGCTTTGTAACTGAATGTGTGGGGTTATTTTGTGGCTTACAATTAAGTCTAGGGTCCAAGTGTGAAAAGTCCAATAAAATGTCAAAAGTCTTCTGACCTTGACCATTTAAATGAAATGGTACAGAGACACTTTTTTTGTTATAATTTATGGATAAAACTTAAAAAATGGTCCTGTGGTGGTTTGTATTTTTAGTTAGGAAACTGTTCTAAAGCCTCAAACTTTTGTAGAAATAGTTTTTTTTTTTTTTTTTTTTTTTTGACTTTTTGGCTTTTTGGCTGCTTTTTTTTTAAATATATTTGATCCATTCGAAAATTGAAATGATTATTAAATTTTTTTATTTTTATTTATTTTAATATTTTAATAATTAAAAAAATAAAAGAAGGCCTAAACATCTCTGCCTCCGCCCACACCTCTCTCTCTCTCTCTCTCTATATATATATATATATATATATATATATATATATATATATATTGAATCGAGAACATTTGAAAACAAATCAAGACCACTAAATATTTTATAATTAAAAATATATTTAAAAACATTATCCATCTACCCAACCTAACCACCAACACTCTTCTGATTCTACACCACCACAGAGATCACCGGCCATTGCCATCGTCAGAACCACCGCATCATCGCCTCTCTCTCTCTCTCTCTCTCTCTCTCTCTCTCTCTCTCTCTCTCTCTCTCTCTCTCCTGGATCCAAAAACATGTACTTTCACTCCTACCGTCTCCATTCTCCATCACTGAACATGGCTAAATATCATTGATTTTCTGATCATTCACGTAGGATTTCGAAAGGAGATTATGATCGATTCAATATCAAGATAATTTATTATCCGTAAAACATCAAATTCAAACGATTGTGTAATCACACACATTCTCCATATTAGGTTTTGTCATCCTCTTTCATATTCGTTATTTGATTCGGTCTTGCACTTAATTTTGCATTCTTAATAGCTGATCAATTAGTCAATGGGTGGAAAGAATTCAAGGGAAAAAAGAGCGAGATGTGAGCATTCTTCATTGTTAAGGTAATCAATATGGCGATTATATTTCTCAACCATATTACTCTCTTCCGACACCTGCTACTTCTCCTCCGACATCTCCTCCTAGACCATAAAAAAAGAAGCTTGACAAAAGATATTTGAGAATCGAAGATAACAATTCTTTGGAACAGATAACATCAATCACCAACAATTTCTTTCATAGTTAACAAATATTTCTTTGTATCATTCTTAGAATTAGGGATTTACGTCATTTGCAAGTGACAGAGGCTCTTACATTTGTTGGCCTCGAGTCTTTCAATCTCATTGTTGGCATTGATTTTACCAAGACCAATGAAGCTTTATTTTAGAAAAAACTAATTTTAAAAAATAAATAAATAAAATTTAAGAAAATATTACAAACAATATCTACAAAATTCGTAAAAGAATTATACATGTTAAAAAAGATGCAACCAAAAGTGAAAATATTATTAACATAAATGGTAAAAAAAAATCAAAGGGTTTTTTATTTTTTTATTTTTTTATTTTTTTATTTTTTTATTTTTTAAATTCAAATTATAAAAAATTGAGGAAACTATAAACAGTAATTGTATCAAATTCGTAAATCAAAGTTAAAAAAAAAAAGTTATACCAAATTTCTAAAAAAAATCACTTTGAAAAAATGAAAGCTGAAGAGTTTTGAAGAGACAAGTGTTGTGAAATGACAAATGTTGTACGTGTGCTGCGTCATACAACAAAAAGTGGTATGAGGATGTTTTAAGAAAAAAAAACAAGACAAAACTTTAAAAATGGTCTCTGTGGTTTTCGAAAATATCAAGTTTAATCCCTAAGTTCAAAAAACCTCACAGATGGTCCCTGTGGTTTCAAAACTTTTAACATCTGGTCCTTCTGGTTAACTCCGTTACCATTTAGCCGTTAAGTAAGGGGTATTTTTGTCATTTCACAACCCAGGGACTATTTATGAGGTTTTGTATTATTTTTTTAAAAATAAATAAATAAATAAAATTTAATATGCAAGGGTCCAATCTTTCTCTCTCTCTCTCTCTCTCTCTCTCTCTATATATATATATATATATATATATATATATATATATATATATATATATCTCCCCTGTAAGCTGTATAGAATTCTTTCTTGTCACTGGCTCCCCCGTAAGTTGTATTAGATTCCATGCCTCATTCATCATTTGATTCCATATCTTCATGAATTTGTTTTGAATCGCCTTTGTATACCTTCGACTCGGGTGTGGGTAAAACCACTCTGATCGCTAGGGTTTTGGAGAATCTCAGAACTTCCTACCCCAATTTGAAAATACAAAGGTTTTTCACTCGTAATGCCCTATTATTCCATACTTTTCCATCGATCAAATATGTTTGAGAAATTAAATTGCTTCCTACTTCTTATGCCTACAAATGTTCCTACCCAATAAAATTATGACACGTGTCATCATTCCAATTTTTTTTATGTAACTCATTAAGACTATATTAGGAATATATCAAATACAATTAAATTGAATGGTGATTTGTCATAATTTTAGTGGATAGGAATAATTGTAGGTATAAAAGGTAGGAGGTAATTTAATTTCTCAATATGTTTTGATTTTCACCTTCATCACCACCAAATTCTACCACCGATTCCCCTGGTAAACACTCTGATCCCCATCTCATCCTTCTCTTCCTCCCTCATCATAGCCTGAAGGTGGATCTTTAGTCTTAGACAATTTCCTTCCTTCTTTCGTCAACATGTCAAATCCAGATCGAGCATCATAAAAAGGGTAGGACCTCACATTCTGATTTTAATGGATTTCCATTCCATTAACTTCTTATATGCACTTTCTTTAGGTTCAGTGATGAGGGAAACAAATGGTGGTGGAGAGCGCTCAGCAACAGCAGCTCCTGCTAATGGTGGAGTTACAAATCACGAAAATGCCCTTAGGCAAAGCAGGGGATCGGAGGTGCTGGTAGTCCCCATTAGGATTTTAGTGCTGCCTTTTGAAGCTTCCCGAAGCTCTATGGGTGTGCTATTTCCAGTGGTCACTGAAGAAGGAGCTTTTTTGTGCAGCTCATTCCCGAAGTTAGGCTTGGACTTTTCTGAAAATTTCCACAATTTCACTTTCCCTTGGTCCAGGAGTTGCAGTGGAATGGAATTTGGGGGAAGGAGATGAAGAGTTGGAAAGGAATGAGGGTTCGTTTTTTGAAGTGAATGGTTCAAAATCTTTGAATTCATCGATTCCATCTCGGTCTTCAGTATTCCTGTTCTTGTTTCTTGAGTACCCTTGTCGATTTTGTCTTGAAAAGTCTGGCTTTCTTCTTGAACATCAATTTTATGTTCAGAAAGTACTACTTTGACATCAAGAAGCTTACCAGGGACACCATGAGATACGAAATGAGACACCGACAATATTTGGTCGAGTAAAGAGGTTTTCGGGGATGTAGGTTGGTACGTTGTGGTGGTTCTCGATTAGCTTTGCTGTAGCTGGATGGAGAGGGACAAATTCAATTGGTTGTGGCGGTGATCAAATAGGAGGCAGCGACATTTCGAGATATAATCTTATATGTGACATCCCCATTTTCACGGCCAGAAAAGACCGATTTGTTTATGCTTTGTTTTATAAAATCAGAGTAACCTTTTAAAGAAAACGGTTGCGGAATTTGTTCCCAAAACAAGATATGATAATAACTTATCAAAACATTTCTCAAAGAGAATGTATTTTCATTTAATTATAAAACCTCGGGATGTCATGTTCCGATACAGACATATAAGCATAAACAGAACTTACATTTAATTACACTAATCATTTGCATCTCCTTTAATCTCTTAGTGCAAAGCAGCTTCGTATCGATACCTGTGATACAATTAAACTGAGTAGGTCAGGCTTGGGAGCCTGGTGAGCATATAGGGTTTTCAACTGTAACATCCCAAAATATCAAGAGTAGAGTTGAAGGGCTAAAATAGTAAATTGGGAAAGAGTGACTCGGCGAGTCCATGTGCGGACTCGGCGAGTAGAGTCGCGACTTGGTCGCGTGTTAAGTGGCCGACTCGGCGAGTCAGTGTAATGGACTCGGCGAGTAGGCGCTGAGTGGAGAAAACCCTAATTCTCGGGGTTGAGCCTTATATAAAGATCATTATGTTTTCCTCCCAGCCTCTTTATCACCCCTTGAGCCCCAGAAAACCCTAAATCGCGGAGAAGCACCATTGTTGGGTGGATTGGAGCTTGGAGAAGTAATTGTTGAAGGAATTTTGGGAGATTGAAGGCTTGGAGCAAGGGGCTTTGCTTGGATTCGAATTACATTGTAGTTGGGGCATCTCTTAGAGGTAATATCTCGTTATTGGACCGTTGTTATGTGGTTTCTTCATTTTGGGGTTGTGGGAATTTGTCTAGGGATGTAATGGGAAGTCTAGAGGCTAGATATGAGGTTGCTACCTCAGATCTGGAAGGGAGAAGAATCAGAGAGCATGAAAGTCCCTGTGTTGGAGTGTTTAGTGAAGCTTACATGTCCCAAACCCTAGCCCAATGTGCAAACGGCTTAGATCTCTTTGGATTCACGTAAAGTTTGCCACTTTACATGATGGATGAGTGGTAGGAGACTAGATATATGCTTTGGAGCAGTTGCATGGCCTGGAATGCTTCTGAATGTATTCAGACCGGTGGTACTCGGCGAGTCACATGGGTGTACTCGACGAGTTGCTTGATGATGAGTTGGGACTCGGCGAGTTGGAAGAACAACTCGGCGAGTAGGTTGATGATAGCCTTAGACTCGGTGAGTCTGTTCTTGGACTCGGCGAGTCTTGTCGAAGGGTCCCGATATTCTCTGGTTGAGTCGAGAATCGGTGAGTCGAGGGATGACTCGGTGAGTTGTGTGCGAGTGGACTCAGAGTTGTTGGACTCGGCGAGTCTCGGGGTGACTCGGGGAGTTAGGTCGCGGAATAAGTGAAGTTCTGATTATGGGAACTCGACGAGTCATAGGGTTGACTCGGCAAGTAGGGTCAGTCAGGGGTTGACTTTGACTGAGGACTTTGATTTTGACCAAGGGTTGGCCGTTGACTTTTAGGGTTTGGTCAGCGATGTGGCCTTTGGGCCAAGAGAGGGGTAAAATAGTCTTTTACCCTTAAGAGGGTGCCATGAGAGGATTGATTCTAGTCTCGAGAGTTATATTCATGAGAGTAATTACCTTACGTGTTAGGCGGTGGCGAGTTCGAGATTTAAGTGTGGAGATATCTGCTTTCTGCCTGCCAGATGAGTCTTCTCACTATACTTTACCTCGAGTAGGTAACCAGAGTTATGCGATCAGAGTATTTGTATGCTATATGTATGTGATGTGTTGTACTGCATTACTTCTATGTGATTTATGCTGTGCATGATTATAGAGTTGGAACCGGAAGGTTCACAGAGTTTGGGTGCACGGACCCATAGAGTTATAGCCTCGAGTGGCTAATATGTGTTATGTGTGGTATTTTGGGGAACTCACTAAGCTTCGTGCTTAAATTGTTTTGTGTGATGTTTTTCAGGTTTCTTTCAGTATCACGGGACGGCACCGGCTTGATTGTACACACCAGAGAAAGAGTCATATTTTGGAGGATCCTGGTTTTCTATGCAAGTGAAAATGGAGTTATGGTTTGTAATCCGACTATGAATGAGATTTTAAACAAGCGTTTCTAAGAATAAAATGATTATTTTAAATGAAAAATTTATCTTGAAATTTACGGTGTTACATCAACCCACAATAATATAATTATTATATTCAATCATCAAACAATCAACCCAATTACCCATCGCCATTATCTTCTTTTAATCTTCCCTAAAGATATTATCCTAAGGGTCATCTCCTATATCATATTTACCGCTCATCTCCTTACATCTTATATCCTTATATGCTTGTTCCTAAGAACTTTTTTCCTAAGGATCATCTGTATCATATAGACAATACTAATTCGGGGATCACTCCCTCAATATATGTCTAGTAAGGGTTAGGGTATCATCGCATGATTACACAGCCACAACATCGTCTGGACTCGTAAATCATAATAAGGGTTAGACTATCATCGCATGAATATGTAGCCACAACATCGCCTGGACTCGTAATTCATAATAAGGGATAGACTATCATCGCATGAATAAGTAGCCACAACATCGCCTGGACTCGTAATTCATCACCTATCTATCATCACCATTATATCCTCACCTTTCTCTTATCACATTCTTTCAACACACATCAACTATTTCATCTACCCATGTTCTACCCAACATATTTGTAGATATAAATTACATATATAGTTTAAATCATTTAACACCCATATAAAAATATCAATTTCAAGCCCATCTCATATAGACAATTAATATATAACGCGTAGCACGTATTTCATAACTAATACTTTATATTTATGTGTTTAGAAGAGAGTAACCACACACTCATACATATAAACAACAATATATATACACATAACACGTATTTCGTATAAAATACTTCATAATTATGCGTTAGAAGAAAGTAACTACACACTCACTTGATCAGAAGATGATCGGACAGCACTACGGCTTGTAGAAGTAGTATTCTTCGGTAGATCTGGAAGATCTTCACAAAAACCGGACTCCTCGCAGGCAGAGCTTCGACTCGGGAATTGCACTTCTCGGGATCTTCAGGGCCTCAGGACTTGCTTCGAGGCTCGGGAATGATATTGGAGCTTCTGGATATTTCTTGCACGAAAAACGATGCAAAAACGTGAGAAAACGGGAAGAAATGAGCAAACTACTCGGCTGCCCTCGACACCCTTTTATAGGGGCTGAAAGGCCGATTTACGCGGAGCGTAATCTTAGGTTACGCGGGGCGTAACGTGGATAAGCCCGGTGACTCCCCCCTTGGATAATATCGAAAATTTATATTTAAATAAAATATCGAAAATATTTAATAAACTTCAAAAATTCATATCTTCCTCATACGAACTCCGTTTTCGACGTTCTTTATATCCGCGTAGGTGAGACTACGATCTACAACTTTCGTTTAGACTCCGTCGCTAATTTTGACTTTATTTTTATTATTTATTTTTAGTAGGCCGGGACAGGAAAACTCCGTTATAAAATCATAACTTCTTCATCCGACGTCCGTTTTCGCCTATCTTTTTATCGTTTTACTACAATTAATGAGATCTTCAATTCTCATTTAGATTGTTTCGGCTAAAAACCGCTCGGTCTCAAATCGAGCATTCGGGCTGCGTACTGCTAAGTCGAAACTTCGAAAAATCATAACTTCCTCATACGAAGTCAGATTTGGGCGTTCTTTTTATGCACGCTCATGGTTTAACGTATTCTACGACTTTCATTTAGATTTCTAAGGCTAAATATCGCTCTAACGTAAATTCACTTTTTACGTCGCGCTGTGTCGTGCCGGTTCTGTCGCAAAACTTCGACAGGTCATAACTTCTTCGTTATAACTCGGATTTCGGCGTTCTTTATATGTACGGAATCCTTGTAAAATATACTACAACTTAGTTAAGATTATTCATTATAAATAATCTTTCATCAAAAATTCATTTTTAACGCCTATCGTCTCTAAATTGACTAGCCCTGATCTACGGGCGTTACAATTATCTCCCCCTTAGGATGATTACGTCCCGGAATCATCAACGAAAATAGAACTTATATAATGATTCCATACGCTATCTCTGCATCCTAGGTAATAACCGTAAATTCTATGTTTCCTCGAAAGAGTATTTAACTCTATGGATTTCTTGATCACAGACGATGCTCAATCTTGCCTCTGCTTATCGTACTATGTTATACTTTCAATCGTAACCTTCGAGTTACCAAATAAGTCATTATTATGGACTCCTTCTTCTTCTCAGGATAAATACTTTCCTTTATCTATTGTAACAAACCGATGGGTCGTGCTCTACTGACCTCTCATCGAATGATGCAATGCTTAGACTCAGGTCTCTTAGAGTTAAATTCCAAAATGGAATATACCTTCCTTCATATTCTAATGTGATATAATCACATTTCAGCATGTAGCATTTCTACCTACAAACTTCTTTTAACAACGAGCGCGACACTATCAATCGCATTAACTTCAACCTTCTGACTTAAGTCAGATGTTACATCTAACTTGGTCCTCTAGACCACGTAACATACTCCTCGTAGTCGAACTCAAATTTAAACATGACCACTAGGGTCGGAACAAGAACCATCTTACTAGTCATTACCGAAACAATGGTAATGACATACCAGAATAAAATGGAATCAATCACTAGCTTCTTGGTAACCTTGCGACTTTCCCTGATCCAAGTGCGAGTCCTGTGCTTCCGGTAGTATAGATATCTACTACCATTCACACCTACTCATACTCATCCCAAGTATTGTCTCACAGTTAACCAAGTCACCATACATAAATCATATAATCATTCAACACACCAGATAACAAAACCAGGGTTTATATTAATTCTTGAAACTATTACACAAAAGTTCAAGTTCACCCTATAATCATAAGTTACTATTCACACTGTTACTTCATAACTTGATCGTTGGATATAAAATCCTCATCCTTGATTCGCTTTGTCGAGGATCATGTGGAATGCCCTTGGCTGTGGCGGTACGTTTTTCTTTGCAGCTTTGTCCTTTTTTGGGCAGTTCTTCGAAATATGACCACCATCTCCACAATCGTAACACTTCCTATTGTCGAACGTACAATCTCTGGAATAGTGAACGATCCTACCACACTTATAGCAGGTCACTTCTCCATCGCATCTTCCGAAGTGCTTCTTCTTGCACTTTTCACACCACTTGGTTTCATCTTTTCCTCCGGATTTCGAGAGTTTGGTTTCTTTGTCGATCATTGAAGATCCCTCGTGTTTCCTTTTCCCTCCAACTTCAACTCTCTCTAGACCCTTTTCCCTTATTTGGGTCTCAACATTCTTGGCTGCCCAGATGGCGGCTTTCAGAGTGGTTGCTTGCTTGACTATCGGACCAAAGTCCGCTGGTAATCCATTGGCAAACTTGTTGACCTTGGAAAGTTCAGTTGGAATTAGGTATGGAATAAGCTTCATCTTCTCCGTAAAGCTTGTAGCGTATTCAGTGACGCTCAATTTTCCCTTCTTTAAATTCTGGAACTCATTGTTGATTTCCAGAAGATCCTGCTCAGAGCAGTATTGCATTTTCATTTGCTCCACGAACTCTTCCCAAGACATCTTGCTAGCTTCCCCCTTGGGCATTGAACCGGCCAGTAACTTCCACCAGCTCAGTACTCCAGATTTTAACAGAGGGATTGCAAGAGCGGTCTTCTGTCTGTTGCTACACTCGCAACTTTCAAACATTGTCTCCATCTCGGAGATCCAGTCCATGACTTGCACCGGTGTCGGGCTCCCAGAAAGACATGGTGGTTTGGATGCCATGAAATCCTTGTACTTGCATCCACGTCCATCATTGTCTCCATCCTGATTGTTTCGGCGAACTATTGGTGGGTTGGCTTGACCAATGGTCCCACTATAGTTCCCTTCTTCCGACTGCCCCTCATTCAGCTCAGGTTGTTCAACTGGTATTGAGGGTTCACTCCTGTTGTTCAGCAACAATTGTCTCATTTCCTCCTTTTGTTCAGCCATCATGGCTTGAATCATGGTTCGCACTCCAGCCATTGTAATTTGTTCAGGTGTTGCTGCTACAACAGCCACTCGCTCAACCACAGGTGGTTGATTCCTATTTTCGTTCACGTTTCCAGCTCCACTCCTGGTTCTTGTCATTTTTGATCTATACACCGAATAAGGTGAAATTAGATCCTTATTCACGATAGATATTCAAATCATCCTTATCACTCCGAAACGTTTACATGCTAGTTCTAATATCGTAGACGTACGCTTAGAATCCTACACACATAAGGTTTCAAGATCCGGTCGGCAACAGACCATAGATCCGAACAAATAATATCATATATGGCAACATATAACATTTAGCACATAAAAGCATTTTAGGCATCACTCCTAAAATAAACTAGTGCTTGTGTCAATTTAGGTGTACTACCTAACATATTTTAGACACACTCCTCACAATCATTACTTAGCATTCTAAGTTTAAGTCTAGAAATTTCCTACAATTTCCTAGTTCGCTTAAACTAATGCTCTGATACCAACTGTGACATCCCCATTTTCACGGCCAGAAAAGACCGATTTGTTTATGCTTTGTTTTATAAAATCAGAGTAATCTTTTAAAGAAAACGGTTGCGGAATTTGTTCCCAAAACAAGATATGATAATAACTTATCAAAACATTTCTCAAAGAGAATGTATTTTCATTTAATAATAAAACCTCGGGATGTCATGTTCCGATACAGACATATAAGCATAAACAGAACTTACATTTAATTACACTAATCATTTACATCTCCTTTAATCTCTTAGTGCAAAGCAGCTTCGTATCGATACCTGTGATACAATTAAACTGAGTGGGTCAGGCTTGGGAGCCTGGTGAGCATATAGGGTTTTCAACCCACAATAATATAATTATTATATTCAATCATCAAACAATCAACCCAATTACCCATCCCATTATCTTCTTTTAATCTTCCCTAAAGATATTATCCTAAGGGTCATCTCCTATATCATATTTACCGCTCATCTCCTTACATCTTATATCCTTATATGCTTGTTCCTAAGAACTTTTTCCTAAGGATCATCGCCTGTATCATATAGACAATACTAATTCGGGGATCACTCCCTCAATATATGTCTAGTAAGGGTTAGGGTATCATCGCATGATTACACAGCCACAACATCGCCTGGACTCGTAAATCATAATAAGGGTTAGACTATCATCGCATGAATATGTAGCCACAACATCGCCTGGACTCGTAATTCATAATAAGGGTTAGACTATCATCGCATGAATATGTAGCCACAACATCGCCTGGACTCGTAATTCATTCATCATCCTAATTATACACACATCTCACTATATTCATCACCTATTATCATCACCATTATATCCTCACCTTTCTCTTATCACATTCTTTCAACACACATCAACTATTTCATCTACCCATGTTCTACCCAACATATTTGTAGATATAAATTACATATATAGTTTAAATCATTTAACACCCATATAAAAACATCAATTTCAAGTCCATCTCATATAGACAATTAATATATAACGCATAGCACGTATTTCATAGCTAATACTTTATATTTATGTGTTTAGAAGAGAGTAACCACAATATATATACACATAACACGTATTTCGTATAAAATACTTCATAATTATGCGTTAGAAGAAAGTAACTACACACTCACTTGATCAGAAGATGATCGGACAGCACTACGGCTTGTAGAAGTAGTATTCTTCGGTAGATCTGGAAGATCTTCACAAAAACCGGACTCCTCGCGGCAGAGCTTCGGCTCGGGAATTGCACTTCTCGGGATCTTCGGGGCCTCGGGACTTGCTTCGGGGCTCGGGAATGATACCGGGGCTTCGGGATATTTCTTGCACGAAAAACGATGCAAAAACGCGAGAAAACGGGAAGAAATGAGCAAACTACTCGGCTGCCCTCGACACCTTTTATAGGGGCTGAAGGCCGATTTACGCGGGCGTAATCTTAGGTTACGCGGGGCGTAACGTGGATAAGCCGGTGACTCCCCCTTGGATAATATCGAAATTTATATTTAAATAAAATATCGAAAATATTTAATAAACTTCAAAAATTCATATCTTCCTCATACGAACTCCGTTTTCGACGTTCTTTATATCCACGCGTAGGTGAGACTACGATCTACAACTTTCGTTTAGACTCCGTCGGCTAATTTTGAATTTATTTTTATTATTTATTTTTAGTAGGCCGGGACAGGAAAACTCCGTTATAAAATCATAACTTCTTCATCCGACGTCCGTTTTCGCCTATCTTTTTATCGTTTTACTACAATTAATGAGATCTTCAATTCTCATTTAGATTGTTTCGGCTAAAAACCGCTCGGTCTCAAATCGAGCATTCGGGCTGCGTACTGCTAAGTCGAAACTTCGAAAAATCATAACTTCCTCATACGAAGTCAGATTTGGGCGTTCTTTTTATGCACGCTCATGGTTTAACGTATTCTACGACTTTCATTTAGATTTCTAAGGCTAAATATCGCTCTAACGTAAATTCACTTTTTACGTCGCGCTGTGTCGTGCCGGTTCTGTCGCGAAACTTCGACAGGTCATAACTTCTTCGTTATAACTCGGATTTCGGCGTTCTTTATATGTACGGAATCCTTGTAACATATACTAGAACTTAGTTAAGATTATTCATTATAAATCTTTGATCAAAAATTCATTTTTAACGCCTATCGTCTCTAAATTGACTAGCCCTGATCTACGGGCGTTACATTATACCTATGAGAGAGAGAGAGAGAGAGAGAGAGAGAGAGAGAGAGAGAGAGAGAGAGAGAGGGAGGGAGGGGGGGGGGGGGGAACCCTTTATTAAATAAATTATATTTTTTTTTAAAATAACAAAAAACTTCATAAATGGTCTCTCTTTTGTGAAATGACGGAAATACCCTTCACTTAACGTCCAAAAGCTAACGGAGTTAGCGAAAAGGACTATTTGTTAAAAGTTTTGAAACCACAGGGACCATCTGTGAGGTTTTTTGAACTTAGGTACTAAACTTAATATTTTTGAAAACCACATGGACCATTTTTGAAGTTTTGTCAAAAAACAAATAACACATTAATCAATATATATAGTTACACTTAATATTTAAAAACTTAGAATCATATATCCTGGTAAGTGTTAGGTTGGTTTCACATACTAAGTTTATGGATGACTTTTGCAAAGATCATATACTAAGTTGATGGATTGCGTTCGCCCATAAACAACTAAATTGAAATTTTCCTAGAACATCGATTTACCCCAAAAAATACATGTATCAAATTTACAACTAGGACTATACAATAGATTATTTAAATTTCACTGCTTGTTTAATGATACGTGAAATGATCTTAAAAAAATAGTTTCTTTCTATTTTTGGAAACTTGATAACTTGTCGATTCTAATTTGGTCTAATGGTTCAATTATACAAGGTTGAGTACTAGCCGATAATTCTTGTGCAATAGTACGCATCGAAGGTCTTGACTCGGGTGCTAATCGTGTACACGCTAGAGCAAAATTAAGCACAGACACCACTTGTTCGGCGACACTATCATTAGGAGGCAGGAGTCTCTGATCAAGGACGTCTTTCAACAACATATTTGAATTATCTTGAGATGTAGAGATCCTATTTGATGATTGCAAAGATGACAAAAGCTCTCCAGGATGTCTTCCCATCATAATCTCAAATGATACGACTCCAAAGCTGTAGACATCACATTTCTCTGTAACCCTCATTGTGAGTGCAAGTTCTAAAGCATAAATACAAACAAAATTAGCACGTTTCAGTAAAACAATTAAAAATAAGATAAATTGGACGTTGTTAACCATATAAATAAATAATAAATACCTGGTGCCATGTAACCATATGATCCAGCAACTCCGGTCCAGTTACTCGAGTCCGGGTTCAACAATTTGGCTGTCCCAAAATCAGACAGTCGGGGGATCATCTCGGACTCGAGCAAAATATTGTTTGACGAGACATCCCGATGTACAACCGGAGGATTGCAGTCGTGGTGCAAGTAGGCTAATGCATGTGCGAGTCCTTGGACGATTTTAACCCTAGTAATCCAGTCTAATTCTGATATTGCCCTTCCTTCTTCGTAGAGTACTTTTCCCAAACTACCCTTTTCTAAGTATTCATATACTAAATGCATCCCGCCTTCCCTACAACAGTATCCGTAGAGTTTGATGATATTCCGATGACGGACTTCCGTTAGGGCACGTATTTCGTTCTCGAAGCTTTTCTTGTTTATCGCCGGAACATCGTCGGAATCCGACACGTGCAGACGTTTCACCGCCACTATCTGTCCGGTTGGTAGCTTCGCTTTATACACACTCCCGAATCCCCCTCTTCCGATGCAATACATCTCGTTGAAGTTTCCGGTTGCTTTCACGATGTCTCCGAACGTAAATCTGCCGTCTCTTTCCCAAATAACTGTTTCGGAATTTCCAATTGTTGTGGTACTTTTGATCTCTTCGTCGATACGTTTTGATCTTCTTCGAATGATTATACAGAAGATAGCAATCGTTGTTGCCATGAAGACGAAAGTGACCGCCGGTACAAGAACTGCGATAAGCAGTTTCTTATTTCCGGATTTTTTCGATGAAGCGCTGCCGTCACAAGGAAGATATCCATTTTCTGATCCACACAGATACGGATTTCCGGTAAAGGATTCTGCCGGTGCCTGTTTGAATACACCGTCGTTCGGGATTGGTCCTGACAAATTGTTGTGCGAGAGATCGATTGATTGCAAGCTAATCATGGAAGTAGATATCCCTGGAGGAATTCGACCTGAGAAATGGTTATGAGAAAGATTAAGATTCTGGAGTGTGTTGAGCTTCGCCAGATCTTGAGGAATTCTGCCGGAGAATGAATTGCTGCTAAGATCCAACACATACCGCAATCCGAACAAGTTTCCGATCTGATAAGGCACTTCTCCTGACAAATCATTGTTGCTCAAATTCAAGCTTGATAACCTTACACAATTCCCAATTGTTGTTGGTATGTTTCCATTCAGATCGTTGCTAGATAAATCGAGAGCTTGGAGGTTGGTTAAGTTGCCGAAGGCTGGAGGGATTTGTCCACTTAACTGATTGTTGCTGAGATTGAGATTGAACAAATTGTTTAATTTGTCCAATTCACTTGGGATTTCGCCTGTAAGTTGGTTCCATTCGAGGCTTAGAACACTTAACTCTAGCAAGTCTCCAAGCTCAGGCGGAATTTTCCCTGAGATTCTGTTTCTTCCCAACTCCAGATTGGTTAGGTCTTGTAATTTTCCCAACTGGGGATTGATTTCACCGGTAAACTGATTGTCACGGAGATTGATGTATGTGAGATTTGGGTGCACACCAAGTGTTTGTGAAATGTCACCAGAGAAGTGGTTACCATCCAGCCTAATGCGACGTAGACCCGTGCAGTTCCTTAAGCAATCTGGTAATATTCCCGTGAATTTGTTTCCATTCACAGTGAACTGATCAAACTGAAAGCCACTGCACAGTTCAGCCGGTAGTTCTCCAGTGAAACTGTTGTTTGAAAAGCTCACATTTGTCAAAACAAGATTGCTCTTGCCTAAATCTGCAGGAATACCACCTGAAAACCCATTGCTAAAAAGCGAAAGAACCATCAAATTTGAAAGTTTGGAGAGAGTGTTAGGCAACTCGCCACTCAACCGGTTTGTGTTCAAGTCAAGTTTGACCAAAGAAGTCAAGTTTCCAATCTCCGGTGGAATTGTTCCATTGAGATCATTAGAAAAAAGCTGCATATCTTCAAGTTTAACCAAGTTTCCAATCGTGGAAGGTATTGAACCCGATATCTGATTGTCTGAAAGATCCAAACTCCTAAGATTCTCCAAGTTCCCAATCTCCATAGGAATGGGGCCTGTGAAGCTGTTATTATACAGAAAGAGAACACTCAGATTTGACAAGAGGCCAATCTCCTGTGGGATTTTCCCAGAGAAGAGATTGTTTTGAACCTGCAAGGAAACCATTTGGGTCCAATTGCTGATGAAATCAGAAGAAATTTCACCCGAAAAATTGTTTTCCGAGAGACCAAGATCAGAAATCCGGGTCAGATTTGACAAAGAGAAAGGCAATTCACCGGAAAACGAGTTTCCGGCGAGAGCCAAGAAGGTGAGATTAGAACAGAATCCAATCTCAGACGGAATCGAAGAATTGAGGTTATTTGAGTGAAGATCAAGGTACCGAAGATTTCGAAGGTAACCGATAGAAGAAGGAATCTCTCCATGAAATGAATTACCAAACAATTC